AGGGCTGCAGCCGCCCCTGCCACATCTCGCAGACGCCGCCGAGAGGAACGTTAACACAACCGGCCAACAGCAAAATGTGATGCAATTCGTTAAATACATCATTAAACAGCGTCAGCAAGAGCAATAACGATAAAATTGTTTTTAATGACAATGACAGTATACGGTCGTGGAGTGAAGTTAAAGGGTTAGGATCGATTTTTCCTCAAAAGAGCGGGATTGGGACCGTTGGCCAGGGAAGAATTAGGGCCCCGATGGAGACTGAGATCAGGACCTCTGGCGAGAATTCGTCGACAGAGAAGGCTTCGGTCGGGACCTTTTGCCTGAATCAATAGATCGCTTAAGGTAACCGTCTTTTTTGGTTTGTCCAAGTGACACTAAAATCAGTTAAAGAAAATGCGGGTATGCACTCGAAGCGGCGATTGTTTGTGTATGACACTCGTACTTTTACCAAATTTCGGAACATTAGACAACCGAGCGAAGACAAAAAAGTTGCATAGTTTTTAAAACCAGTAAAACTGTGAGCAGCCAAAAATTTAGCAAGTGCTTCAGAAGTTTCTAATTCCCTTCCTTCTCGATACAGCCATTATCGACAAAGGCGTCAAACCAATCGTGACTGCAATATCGCAGTCATAAAATCAATGATTGGATTCCCATCCTTTAATTTAAGCAAAAAATTGTGAGACATTTCTTTTAACAGGAGAACTAAACAATAGTTCATCTAACAACGTAATTCGTCTTCACTGGATTTTAACTGCGCTTCTGGATTATTCCTCAATCCCTCATTAAAGAATTATGAAAGTGCAAAAATCACTACTGTACTAGGTTCTTCAACAATCATGGAAGGCAGACGAAGTGTGTTTAAGTTTTGGAACATTGCTGGCTATCAGTGGCTAGAATCATTTCAAATTTATTCAAAACTTACATGTTCGATCAAGCCAAAAATAGGCTCTGAATTACCACCGACCTCAGAGTAAGACTTATTTGGACTCTGAGCTCCACTGACGTCACTCTGCGTTGAAGCAGGCTCCCTGATATGTTAAATAAATCTTCATTTAGGTCAAAGAAATTGGTGATGAGCAACCAAAAACTAACAATGTCAAAGCAATCTAGCAAGTCCTTTTGAAGGTTTAAATGCAATGATTATAGATGCGGGAGGATTGACAGTGATAGTGAG